ACGGAGAAGACAATCCTTGTGTTCGGCTATAGCCAGGGCTTCGGCAAAGCAGACCATTCCCTCACGTGTGACATACTTAGGCACCACTTCAAGGGCTATACAGCAATCAATTGGTCCGATGAGGGCTATTAGGCATCCAATCCAACATCAAATGCAGTATTCACTCAAGAATTGTCCCAAAAGTTAACAATAAGTTTGCTTTTAATAAACATTTTATTATTAATAATAATGAATACATTATACAATGAGATAAATAACCGAATAAATCAATTGTCATTATTTTTCTCTTTGTTGAAAGTGGAGGTTATGGTAGGAAAAGTGGTCACAGAGGCGGTGGAGATTATGGGGGACACGGGGTTATGGAGGTACAGGTGGTTACGGTGGACACGCTGGCGGTGTTAGACATGGAGGTTATGGTGGTTATAGAAGACATGGCGGAAGTGGTCATCATTACTAGAAGTAAGGTGCTTTTACATTTACATTAACTTTTACATTAACTTTACATTTAGTACTTCAGTTTTAAAATACTTTTTATTCAAACAGTAAAATTAGTTTAGAAAGTAATCGTAAATTTTACAAATAATAATCTATTCAACATTAAATAATCTATCTACATTGATTGTTTTATTAAATTCATTAATATAGTAATTCTTTTCATATAAAAATGTATAAATTGTTTGTAATTAATGTATAAATTGTTTGTAATTAATGTATAAATTGTTTGTAATTAATGTATAAATTGTTTGTAATTAATGTATAAATTGTTTGTAATTAATGTAAAAGTGTTTGTGATGATATTCTGAATATATTAATATAGAGTACAGTATAATATTTGCATTTAAATGTAGTGTTTTGTTGTCTGTATTAACTGTTCATAATTTAATACAGATTTCAATTTAAAACAAACTAAACGTTATAATATTTCGTATACTTTTGTTACACCAAACATTTGTATATGTATTGATGCAATACTATTGACAGTGAATTGAGATTCTGTACAGAATCTGTACTACAGATTCGTTAAATAGACTTTTGTGTTCAAATAGTCACATCAGATGTCTCTTACATCCCATGCATTCAATTCATATAAGATTTAGAGTCCTTACAATTAAATGACACAATAAATCGGTCAATGAAAGCAAACTTTTAAAACATTGTTCCCGAAGTAACCAATGCTTAAGACACGGATTATAGTAATCCATACAATAATAAATGACTTTTTATAGTCATAACGATAACTTAAATGTTAATTAATTAGTTTTATTTTAAAAATAACTAACATTGTCCACACCAATCATAGTATGGATAAAAAGCGCACATTTGGGCCCTTTTACACCTACACACCTATCGTAGCGTAATATGTATGACGTATACGCGAAACACGAAAACATTGTAGACGTGAGCGCATGCAAACGTACGCGAGTGGTCCACAAGCGTGGCATACGAACAGTACGTGCGAAACGGTGTGTTTGCGCCAAACACTGACAAACGGTTTGGGCTTTTGTTTGCAACAAATCAAACGCCAAACAAATTGCAATCAAAACGGCTTTTCGGCACTCATTGGACGCGCAACGCATTCACCGGACACTTGTCGGCCGCACATCCGGCCCACTACTGGCCCCCCATCGCCACAATCGCCGCGTTTAACGGTAATTATAATTACTATTCAGACGTAATGTATTGTTATGTATGGAGATATCATTACTTCATTACACCATTGAATACAATAAATTAAGTGATCATTCATTTGATTAGCGATATATCACTCATTATTAATCACCCATTGATTGCCATTCAGTGCTAACTATGCGTTCATTGCAGTGATGCTTATGAGCCGTTGTTTTGTTTATGCATTGTTTGCCTAATTTTATGCCATTTCCCTAATTATCACACATTTTTTGGTGTCTTTTGGTGCCGTTGTATGACTCGCGAGAGCGCATCCATTTCCACCCATACCTACCATTCAGTGCTGCTTTAATTGCTTTTGTAATTAAGCGTTAAATTAGTTGTCATTACTGTTAGCCATCGATCGCTCATTCAGTGGTTGATCGCCGCAAATGGCTATCATTTCGGTGTTTTATAACCACTTTTATCTCACATTGTATTCATTAATGGCTTTTATTGATGTAAATATTGATTGAGTTTTGATGACAAAACTGTTTACAAAACTAATGATCACTTAAACGTGTGACAGAATGGATAGCTATAGTATGGACGAGACAGTGGTGGCCACCGCTGCCATCGAAGACAATCTCAATGATGAGTTGGACGGACAGCAATCCAACGCCAATATAATGATGATTAACGCCTCCAATGAGGACGTGGAGGACGAGGAACAGGAGGACAATGAGGTGGAAGAGGGCCAACAGGAGGCCGTCGATGACTTGGATGACATAATCATTGCAGAAGCCGTTATGGTATGAATGGACCACTAATTCACTGTTTCTGTTCACTATATCACACTTAACCTTCACTTCATTTGATCCACAGGTGACTCAATACAGCTGTAAGTTCTGTAACCGACGGTTTGACTCGATCGACAAAGTGAAGAACCACTACCTCTTGAGACACAACAACGCCACCGCCAACGACAGCACCGCTTCCAATAGTGACGTCAAACCGACCATGAATTCAGCGAAGACTAAGACGAGGACGAGGGGACAGTCGAGTCAGGAGTCGGCCGACGAGGCCTCGGAGGACAACGCAGTGGCCGCCCCTAAGCCCAAGAGACGTAGACCACCGCCAAAGAGGGGTAAACCGAAGGCTCAGAACTATAAGATAGAGATCGTGGGCGACATCGATGACGACGAGTTCCTGCAATCGCAGTCCAAGAAAAGGGGTCGAAAGCCCACTGGAGTCAAACGCAAGTACCCGTGCGATTGGCCCGCATGTACTTATGTGGCCAGACATTCGGTCCATTTGAAAGACCATAAGCGCACCCATACGGGAGAAAAGCCCTATAGGTATGAGTCCCCTCCATCGTGTGCTCAATATGTGCTCATTTTAATGGTGGTCTACCCCTCAGATGCAATTGGCCCGACTGTGGACACAGCTTTGTTCAGGGATCTGCTCTTAAAGTATGTCTACCCGTTGTATGCATTAGAACTTGTTTTTCATTCATCGCTCTCTGTTTAGACTCACATCCGAACCCATACGGGGGAGAAACCCTACCCATGCGAGTGGCCGGGCTGTACGTTGAGGTGTGTAGGCGTTGAGTAGTTTGAGTGTTTAAATTGTCTGGTTTTTAATAAATGATTGATTGTTTAAATAACAGGTTTTCTCAGAAAAACAATGTAAAGGTTCACATGAGGACACACACCGGGGAGAAGCCGTATGTGTGCGACTGGCCTGGCTGTGAGTGGAGGTTCGCTATTAAAGGCAATTTGGGTGAGTTTTGATC